CCGGGAACAGGCACAAACCACTGACCAGCCTTCCCACCCTCCTGGGAATCCTGTTTGCATTGCTTCTTTCCATTTGGCTTCAGTCCAAACTGGATCCAAACCAGAAGTTTTCAAAAGCATCCAGTAAACTGGAACCTGCCAAGCTGGCCATGGCCCCAGCTGCCCAGTGAGAGCAAGACCCCTCCTCATTTCACTACTATAAGGGGCATAGAGCCTGTTCCCTTGGGAGCACAGAAGCCATTCCCTTGGGAGCCAGGATCCTGTTCCCTTGGGAGCTGCAGGGTCCCAGGATCTTTATCATGCACCTGAGGCCCCTGACCTGGCATGTTTAACGTGCTCAGGCAGAACCCTGCTATGGTTCCCCTCAGTTCCATGCAGGATTGGTTGATGCTCCCTTCTCCCAGGGATATAACATTTGGGAATGCTGTGCTTTCCAAGAGAAAGTGCTGCAAAAATCCAAAACCTCCCAGGAGACCACACAACCACACTCATGCTGACTCACTTCGAAAAAGTCCGTGAGACCTTCTCCGAGTGACAGTACACAGTGTGGAAAAGCCAGGAGAAGCTGAGGCACAGCACTGCTCCCAGGAAGAACATCCCGAACACCACCTTCTCTTGGAGAGGAGCCATAAAGTACATGTTGGGCCGCAGCATGGTCAGGATCCCCAGGCAGAGGAACAGAACAAACCCTGCAGAAACACATGGAGAGGGAAGTCAGGGGGACAGTGGGGAATTTCAGCAAAGCCAGGATAAGAACAGTCCTGGCCATGCTCCTGGAGGTCCTGGATGTATCCCAGAAGTGCTCAGTAACCCACAGTGGGTCCTTTGGCTGAGGCCTTTGTTTGTGCAAATAAGAAGGGGAAGGGGCAGGCACAGGGCAAAGAGCTGCTGAGCTGCTATTTCACAGGGTCATGGAATCACAGACTGGTTTAGGTGGGAAGGGATCTTAAAGCTCACCACATTCCACCCCCTGCCATGGGCAGGGACAGCTTCCACTAGCCCAGGTTGTTCCAAGCCCTGTCTAACGTAGCTGTAGACACTTCCAGGGATGGGCCAGCCGCAGCTGCTCTGGAAAACCTGGGCCAGGGCCTCACCACCCTCACAGGGAAGAATTTCTTCCACTCTCCCATCTATCCCTGTGCTCTGGCAGTGGGAAGCCATTCCCCCTTGTCCCGTCCCTCCAGGACCTTGTCAAAAGTCCCTCTCCAGCTCTCCTGGAGCTCCTTTAGGTACTGGAAGGGGCTCTGAGGTCTCCCTGGAGCCTTCTCTTCTCCAGGCTAAGCACTGCCAGCCAGCTCCAGAGCATAAGAGCTCCAGCCCTCAGAACATCTCTGTGGCCTCCTCTGACTCATTTCAGAGGAACATCCTCTGAGGCTCCCCTGTTTTGCCCAGGACACATTTCCCTGTCCCACTCCTGCAATGGCTGAGCCCAGCCCTTGTCCCTCTCTCCCAGGGAGCTCCAGGCACTCCATGTCTGATCCTCATGCATGCACAGGATCCACACAGGGAGCCCTGGGCATGGAGAGGACCCGGCCCCAAGCCTGTTCTGACCCTAATGCAGGGTCTGAGTACCTCCAGCCCCAGGGCTCCCCCTTCCCCACAGTCACCCAGCAGGTGTGTCCAGATGTTGCCTGTCTCGGTGTGTATCCGGAAAATGCTCCGGAAGCAGGCGCGGAAGGAGGGCATGGGGGGCCGGTGTCCATGCAGGAGGTAATCGTTGTCCTTGAGCCAGTCAGGCAGGACATCGTATGGGATCACACGCCAGCGCCCTTCCCACACCTGCAACAAACCAGGGGGATCAGGACAGCCCAGAGCCCCAGATCCACGGGGAACAGCCCAGCCCCGGGATGCTCCTCAGGGACAGGAAGTTGGGCTTCTCTGACATCAGGCACCCTGTGGGACCCTGCAAGCCACTCACCTACATCCTGCCCTTTGCTCTCCATAACTTCCCAGGGAGTGATTCCCAGTCACCCCAGGCAGTCATTTTACCCCCACCTCAGTTCCTACAAGGACTGATTCCCAGCCCCTGAAGGGAGTGATTCCAGGACCCCCAAGGAAGTCAGGGGTGATTAACACCCTCAGCTTTAACCCTTCCACACCCACAGACTGTTCCCTGTGGTGGGAATTCCCATTTGATCAGGGAAGAATCCCAGGAGCCACAGTGACTGTGGGCACTGGGTGACACCCCAGGAACCACCCAGGCCCGCAGGAACATCTGAACTGCTCCCATGTTCTCACCCACCATGGCTGGGCCAATCTCATCCAGGCCATCCCCTCCCCACACCGTTCCCGGGGATGCTGCTGGAAGCAGCCCAGCAGAGCTGGAGCCAGCTGCAGCCAGTGGAGCTTTATGTGGACACATCCTGTCACCCTAAACCTGGGGACTGGGGAATCTGCTCCAAAATCAAGACTGGGGGATCGCCACAGGTTCCAGTACCTTGTACACAAACTCTTCCATCTTCTCCATAGCATGGTGAGCCTGCAGAGGCAAGGTCAGCACCCGCACCACCTCCTCCTCCTCCTCACGGACCACTGGGCATGGTGGGTCCTCAGCCTGCAGTGAGAAGAGCCAGAAGGGAATTGGTTCCAGCCCCCAGGAATCATCCCTGCCCTTCTGAGAGCATCTGGGGTTTCATCCCTCTGATGGGATGGGCAGGACTCGCTGGTCACCCTCGTTTATGCAACACGCTGCTGCCTGACCCATCCCGGGCATGCTAATCCCAGACTTATCCTGTCGAAAAGTGGGATTAGTACCAGGGATTTTCATCCTTACAACCAAGGCTGGAATGGCCGCTTGGCCCATCCGGGAGACCCAAGTGGGCCCACCCGAGCAGAGGCAGCCCCGAGCTGGGAATGCTCTGGGTCCCGGCACAGCTCCTGCTCTCCTCAGCCAGGAAGGGGCTCGGGAGGGTGATTCCCGGCCCTGTGGAAATGCTGGGGCACCGGAAACACTCGGTACAGACACAGTGATGCCGGTGACATCCCTGTGAAGGACTATCCCGACTCCATGCCTGCTGGCAGGAGCAGTTTAGGCCGGCTCGTAACACGGACCGGCCCGAGGAACAACGCGGAGCCGTACTCCTGTAGCTCTTAATGGGATAACGGGCAGATTCCCGGGATAATCCGCGAAGACGGAGCGCGGAGACTGAGCCAGGCTCTGGATTCCCTCCCGCCGGGGCTCCCGGAGGGGCTCACGCTGGCCGCGCCGGTGGCTCCTTGGTCCCCCTTCTCTTCCAGGAGCGGCCCCAGCTCGGCGAGCTCCAGGTGCGCCCGCTCCCGCTCCCGGTCTCGGCCGGCGGCCACCATCCCGCTGCCCGCCCCGGCGGGGGCCTTGCGGGACGCCATCGGGGCGGCGGGTGCGTGCGGCTCCGAGGCAGCCGGTGAAGGTCCCTCCGCGTCCTTCTGCCGCCGCGCTGGGGGGGGAAGCAGCACAGAGTTACCGGGACCGAGGGAACCGGCGACAGGGCTCTCGCCGGCGGGTTGGACACAGCGGACGCCCCGCTGCCCCGCCCGTCCCTCACCGGCCGCTACATCCCGCGGGCGGCGGCGGCACCGGCACCGGAAGCAACGCTGAGGGAACGGGATCGCACAGCGCTGCTTCCGGCCTCGGGGCCGCGCCCCCACCAGAGCCCCGCCCCGAAGAAGAGTGCTCTATGATTGGTCAAGATCACTGTCTGTCTCTCTTTTCCCCGCCTCAACGGCCGCCGCCCGCTGCGATTGGCCGAGCCGCCGGGCTGGGGTGCCGGCGGAAGCCGCTCTGGCCGCGCGGCTCGGCTTTGCGGCTGCGCGCGCGGCTGCCCCCTGGTGGCCGCGCGGGGGACGCGGCCGTGAGGGCCCGGGCCGCGCTGCGGTGACGCGGACCCCGCGTGCCAGCCGAACCGGGGCCCCAGGGCGAATTCCCTCACCTTTTAAAACTTAACCGTCGTAATTCAATTTAGGTGCTTTAATGAAGAAGTTTGCGTTTCAAGTATTGAGTAAAGTCATCACCAAAACAAATACACGTTAGGCAGGCAAAGGATGTGCTTTAGATATGCGGGTTCATGTAAATTTTACTGTATTTAACCTTTTACTCCTCGCTGTGCTTGATTTGTGGAAACCTCCTCTTCGTACCTGGTGCAGAATAAATAATATTTACTTTCTAACGTGAGTTTGTGTTTAGAGAGCTCCTAAAGTAGACAACAAGAGGAACAGACCCTGTCACCCATCTGGGATGTCCCAACAGCCGATGGCCCTTGCAGCACCGCCTGCCTGCCCACGCCAGGCCATTGAGGGCTTTCCCGAATGGCCACAGCAATTAGCAGTGGCCGAGGTCACCCCGGCCTGGTGGGGCGGCTCGTCTTTCCCTGCCCAGAGGTTTAATTTCCTTGGCTGACAAGAGCAGGAGACTCCCAGCCGCCGGCTGCACAATGGTGGATCCTGTTCCCCATCAATCATTCATGGCCTTGCTGCTGGAAGAGATTTCTTGGGGACTGCTGGAGTAGCGAGGGGGGAGAGATTTTCCGACCTTGGTGATGTTATATAGGTGCTGGGAGCACCAGGAAGGTTGGAGGTACCTGGGTCGCCCACTATCCCCGCAGGGTGAGTGGTGTGGGGGCTGAAAGGAGCACAGGATTTAGAGAGGACATGGGTTTGGAGGGGACATGGAATTTGTAGGGGACACGCGTTTGGTGGGGATACAAGGTTTTAGGGGACATGGGTTTGTAGGGGACACAAGATTTGGAGGGGACACAGGGTTTAGACAGGACAAAGGACGGGAGGCGGGGTTTGAAGGGGACACATGGTTGGGAGGGGACATGGATTTGGAGAGGACACAGGTTTAGGGCTTTTTGGAGTGTCATGGGAGAGGGTGGGGATAGAAAATGATCTGGGAATTCTGGGATGCTGTATACCTCCACATTCTGCTGGAGCATGGGGTCCAGGACAAGGGTTGGTTGTGGGCAGGGCTCTGCTCTCCTCTCCACAGGGACAAATGCTGCCGTGTCCCCCCTCCCGCTGTCCCCATGGGTGTGCTGAGCTGCATGAAGTACCTGATGTTCATCTTCAACGTGCTGGTGTTTGTGAGTCCCCCGTGGGATGCAGGGGTGGAGGGAACCCGTGCCTGGGGACTGATAAATCCAGCTGGCTCAGGGGTGGGCAGCACCAGTCCCAGGGAGGGAACCAAAGGCTGGAGCATCCCCCATCCACATGGGTGACATTTCTGTCTGGCTCAGGGGTGGGTGACACCCATTCCCAGGGAAGGGACCAAGCCTTGGACATTCCCTGAGCCCGTGATCATCTTCTGACGTTCCCTTGCAGGCGGGGGGAACATGCCTGGCAGGCATGGGAGTCTGGGTGGCCGTGGACCCGGCTGGTTTCCAAGACATCGTGGCCACCAGGGCCGTGCTGAGCGCAGGCGCGTGGCTGCTGCTGGCCGTGGGCATCGCCCTGTCCCTGCTGGGCTTCCTGGGCTGCTGTGGGGCCCTGCGCCGGAGCCGCCCGCTCCTGCTGCTGGTGAGGGAGGGAAGATGGGTGGGAAGGGGCTGCAGGATATGGCCAGGGAGCACTGGGGGCGGGAGTCATGGGCTGGATGGTGGGGGGGGTGCAGGTGTTCATGGAGGAACGAGGTGCTCCTCATCCTCAACATGTCCTGCCGTCCACTCCCCACCTCATGAGTCTCAATTCAGAGTCCAGAGGATTTATAAAGCCGTCAAGTAGGGTAAATTCTCTCTGAAGCCACTGGCTTGTCTCATTGTGGCATTTCCAAGATGACCCCACTGCTGGTAAGGGGCAGAAAAACGCCTGTTTGAGCACCAAGACTCCCATTTCTTCAGCATGCTCGGTCCCTTGCAGACACTGCTTGTTTTTAACCCCTGCCTTGCAGCCACAGTGGTCAGAGATGTGGCATCCATCCCCAGGAGCTGTACACGTGTCCCTGGTCTCAGGGACATAGAGCACAGGCAGGACTGGTGCAGAGGAGGGCAGGGATAATGTGAGCAAGCTGCTGGTGGGATCAGGCTGGTCTCTGATTCCTTCACCTGCTGCCTTCCAGTTCTTCATCCTCGTCAGCCTCGTCTTCCTCATGCAGCTCATTGGGGCCGTTCTCTTCCTGGTGCACTGGAAACAGGTACCGGCACCGTCCCCACTGTCACCAGCCTCCCTCTGTCACGCCGTGGCTCTGAGGCCACCAGGTGACTGGGGCTGGTGTAGCGACACCCTTCTCCTCACCTCCATAATCAGCACCACGATACAAACTGCAAAGCAGGTGGGAGGGATCCACTGGGTGCCCAATTCCCCTCAAAAGGAGCTAATCCTGAGCAGAGTGGGAGAGGAACAGTCCCAGCCCTGGCACCAATTTCACAGGTCCAGCCTGAGCACTTCCTGTCTGAGCTGCAGAGGAACTATGCTGGGGACGAGGGTGCTGAGGTGTTCTCCACAGCCTGGAATACTCTGATGGTCACGGTGAGCAGCTGGGAGACTCCTGGGGAATGCACAGGATCCACCAAGGGTGACCATGGTGATGATGTTTCCCTTCTGTTCCAGTTCTCGTGCTGTGGTGTTTTAGGACCTGAAGACTTTGGGAATGGCTCCCGCTTCCAGGAGCTGCACCCAGGGATGCCATGGCCACGGGCATGCTGTGCGCGGGATGGGCTTCTGCAGGTGGGAGAACTCCTGGGCTGGGAGCAGTGCCAGGACAGAAGCCCTGGCTACATCCATGAGCAGGTACGGCAGAACTCTGCTGTGTCCGTGTACCTGTCCCAGCCTCAGCCCTTCCCAGGCTCACAGAGTGAGCATTAGGGACAGAAACCAGGGACACTGCCTGGTTCTGCTTCAACAGTCCAGTGGCTCCCAAAGTCTTCACCTTGTCCTGCCACCCAGAAGACCCCCCCCCCCCACATCCCCCTGCAACCCAGTCCCCCTCTGGGCTCCCTGTGGCCATGGGCAACATGAGAGAGCCCCTCCCTCCTCTCTCTGCCTCAGGGCTGCTTCTCTACCTTCGGCAAGACCCTGCAGAGGTACATCTCCCTCCCTGGGACCTGCAGCTTAGCTGTGCTAGGCATTGAGGTAATGAGGGGGGGCCGGGGCAGGGCAGGCAGAACATCCACTCCTTGTGGCAGGGGGGGTGCCCAGTGGGCAAGGAGAGCAGAAATGGGCTCAGGTCTCAGGGTACAGAGCCTGCTCTCTGCTGCAGATAGGGCAGGTGGAGGAACAAGGAAGGGTTTGTTTTACTCTCCCTGGGTCTCCTTGCCCTGGTGTCCCTGTGCAGCACCAGGAGACCTGGCCCAGACCCCTCAAGGGCCACAGCAATGGCCCCAGGCCAGGGATCCTCCAGCCCCTCTCTGCCCCTGGCCTGGCCTGGCCCTGCTATGGGGCTGACCCTTTCCCACCTCCATCATTCCAGATCTTTGCCATGTTCTTCGCCTTCTGCCTTTACTACAACTTTGACTGAGTGGAACAGGGACACGCCAGGGGTTTGGGAGCAACTGAGGACACAGCCTTTCCTCACCCAGCAGAGATCAGCTCATCACTGTATAAACAACTCAGACCCCGGGTGGGAATGAGTAAATAAATTTAATTAGAATCCATTAAAGTTACAAAGCAAAGAGGGGACAGCACTAGAGCATAGCAACTCTCTCTGCTCACCAGAGGCTCAGCTCACAAAAGCAACTTCACCTTTTATACACTCAAGGTTGCATCAGCCACATTAATATTCATACATGGTCCTTCTGTGTCCTCCCAGCACTTCCGTGGCTTTGCCCATATAGATATACTTGGCTCCTCCTAGGGTCCATGACCTCATTCTTACAAGTAGATTTGGCTCTTCCCAAGGGCTGTCAGTTAGCCCTCTGTGCCTCTTTGTTGGTGGAGCCTCTCTTACATCTTGATTGCTGGTGAGCTGTTACCCTGCCAAGCCTTCCAGCAACAAGTGTCCCCCACTCCCTGCTGCCTCTTGCAAGGGACAAATATACACCCTCCCCCATATTTTTGACAGCTCTGTTGGCCAAAGCTGCCAAGCAGCAATGACACAGGGGAAGGGGAGGATTGGAGGGAGAGCAGAAAACGGTTCAAAACCAAACTGGAACAACAGAAGTACATGTCAAAAGAACTGTGAACCTTAACAGAACTTCTTCTCACCATACGTAATAACTCCTCCTCATTTGCATGAGCCAATCACTACACCTTATTCACAACAATACCCCCTTTTTCTCTTGATGCCTCATTTATGTGGCTCATGAAAATTAGTCTCATTTCCAATTTCATTACAACACTTGAAATTGACCAACCCAACATTAACCATATTTACTTAAAATTTTCCACCCTAACATCAACCACATTACAATATCCAATAATAAAAAAACAATTCATATAGAGTCTAGTAAAATCAACTTCTCTTAACTCGTTCTCCTTATATTTGATTATATCAACTTGAACTATATTTGAATGAGTCCTAACAGTATCTGTTGACGTGGTTCAGGGTAGCAAAAACCTTGGGTCTCCCTGAGAAAATGATTGATGGCTCTCATGACATGGGTAGTCCTCTGTAATAAAAGGCAAGTGACAGACAAGAATGGGAGTAACAGAGGTCCAGCATGGCTTTTACTTCATCCCACCATGCCTCATAGGGTCGCTACCTATAGTGGGGATGTATGCTTTTCCTGGTGTAAGTACAGAGGCCAAACCAGTCTTGCCCTCCATCCATTTGTTACTTCTCCCAATTTTGTCACCTTCCAATTTTAGTTACCTTTAGTACTTTTTCCATTATGATCTTTTCCTGGTCCTCCAAGCCCTTCCCATTTAACAGACTCTAGTAGTTTCCATCCACAGAGAGAGCTAAACACAGTAATATGTCACATACTAATGTCAATATGTTACACCCTCTCCCTTTTGACGAATACAATCCTGGTCTTTCTGCTGGGAGCTGAAGTGTCTTTCCCTGGTGTGAAATCAAGGTCTCTCAGAGCCCATAAAAACTTGGCTGTCCTTCCCCATTTTCTGTGCTACTTGGAACATTCTCTAGGTTATTTGGATTACCTCAGTTTGTTACCTCTTAATTCCCATTTAAGAGTCAGTTTTGTATCACCTGGTTCAGATGTTATAGTCCAGTCCTCAGGTTCTTCCACAGGTCCTTTGACTTGGCTAGTGTGGGTCCACCCTCGTGCAGCGGTTCTGACAGCTCAACTGTTATTTGCACTTGAAAGGAACCTTCCCATTATGGTATCAATGGTTGTTTATTCCAGGATTTAATTAACACCCAATCCCCAGGTTTTATGTGATGTATCTTGAAGTCTAGAAGGGAAATTTGGAGAATCATTCCTCATTTTTGTAAGTCCTCTTGATTTTGGGCTATGGTCTTAACATATTTCATGACATTTACTTCCCCCTCTTCATAGGTCACAGCTTCATGGGTTGAAGCTAAAAAGGGTAACCCAAACATCATCTCAAAAGGGGATATACCAAGGTTGGACCAAGGTTGTATTCTAACCCATAGTAATGCTCGGGGTAAACATCTTATCCAAGACATTCGAGTCTCAATCATTAACTTAGTGAAGGTTCTTTTAAGGGCCTGATTCATCCTGTCAATCCATCCAAAATTTTGTGAGTGCCATAGTGTATATAAATCCCATTTTATTTCCACTGCTTGACCTATCTGTTGTAAAACATTGGAAGTGAAGTGTGTCCCCCCAGCTGAATCAATCCTCTTCACCATCCCATACCAGGGAGTAATTTGTTCTAACAGCATCTTGGAGACAATATTAGCCATGGCCCTCACAGCAGGTATAGCCTCGATCCAGTGAGTCAAATGATCACTAAGACCAGTAAGAATTTCCGTCACTGGATCTGGGAAGTTCAGTGAAGTCCACTTGTATACTTTTGAAGGGTCTTAGGGCTAGTTCTCGCCCTCCTGGGGTTACTTTTATCATTGCCTGTTTGATCACCGTTTGACAAACTCCACATTTACCAACTATTTGCTTTGCTATTCCAATGACTCCTACACACCCATAATTCTTTAAAACCCATCACAGAGGGCTTGGGTACTCAAATGGGTCTTTTGGTGTATTCTGTCTAATACTTCTTTGGTAAGGGGTCTATTTAACATTTGCCTTCTGTCTGGGATACCTGCATCATTCTTCTCTGCCCCTATCTTCCTCAGTCTGTCCTCTTCTGGTTTACTAAACCTTGGAATCCCTGATTCTTTGTCTTTGATGTTAGGACTATCATCATTCTCTCCTCCCTATTTTCTGCAGCATCCTTTGCTTCTCTATTGGCCAGATTGTTTTCCCTGATCTCTATGGCCACTCCCTTCTGGTAACCCCTTAATATGGACTATAGCAATCTCCTCTGGTAACCTCAGGGTTTCTAAGACTTCCAGTCAATCTTTCATGTATCAGTCCCTTCCCTCATGAGTTAAAAAGCCCTCTTTCTTCCCTTATTTTTCTGAAGGCATATTTTGAGTGCACTACTCCAAAGGCATGTTTTGAGTCAGTATAGATTGTCCTTTTTTTATGGTCTAGTAGTTTTAAAGCCTGGACTGAAGAATACCACTCAGAAGCTTGGGCTAGTGGACTAGTCTGAGGGCAATTTCCCTTTTCAATTACCATAATCTTTTGTTCATTTATGATGGCAAACCCAGATTTCCGTCACCCTTGTATATACCTTGAGGAGCCATCTATATACAGGATCTTTCCTCTTTGGAGAGACTGATCAGTCAGGTCCTCCCTCACCTTGGTTTGGTATTCAATTATGTCCAGACAGTCATGTTCTACTTCTCTGACTGGTTTCCCATATAGGAATTGAGCTGGGTTTAAATACTTGTCTCTAACATATTCCAAATCATCCCTGTCTATTAATATGGACTCATATTTGAGCATCCACGAGTCTGTAAGCCACTTTTCAGCCTTTTGGTTTAAGATATTTGTTACTGCTAATAGGATTCAACAACTTAAACAAGTATGCCACAGGTTTTCTAGATCCTCCCCAATCCTGGGGGAGGACCCTGTGGGTTAGGACCCCATGGGCCACCCCATTGTCCACATTCACAAATGGGTGAAAGGGCTTTTTTAGAGCAGGAAGGCTGAGGGTGGGGGCAGTTATCAATTTTTGTTTTAATTCTTCAAACATGTTTTCATCCTCCTCTGTCCAGATTATCTCCTCTTCAACTAACTTTTCATACAGAAACTTAATAGCCTGGGTGTATCCCTCAATCTATAATCAGCAATATCCTAGTAATCCTAAAATCTGCCTTATTTTTTCTTTGGTTTTGGTCTAGTCATTGAGACAATCCCTGTAATCTTTCCTGGATGTAACTGTCAGCTGCCTTTACTAATTATATGACCCAAATACTGGACCTCCTGCTCCACAAACTGGATTTTTTTCTTTGACACCCTCAATCCCTGGGTTCCTAGAAAATTTAGAAGGCCTATTGTGGCTTCCTTAACTTCTCCTTCCTCAGTCCTGGAAAGTAACAAGTCATCTACATATTGTATGAGTTTAATTTCAGGGTAGAGAATCGCAGGGTCTCCTCTACGGCCTGCCCAAACAAATTTGGGCATTCCATAAACCCTTGGGGTAATCTCGTCCACCTCAGTTATTTTCTTCCTATGTTAGGATTCTCCCACTCAAAAGCAAAAATGTCCCTACTCTCCTCAGCCAAAGGACCAACCCAAAAAGCATCTTCAAGATCTATTACACTGAACCATTGATGTGAAGGTGGTATCTTACTTTAGAGAGTGTATAGGTTAGGAACCATGGGATATCAGTCAATAGTCCTTTTATTCACTTCTCTCAGACCCTGTGCCAGTCTGTAGATACCATCTGATTTCCTTATGAGTAAAATCAGGATAATGTGAGTAGACATACACGATTCCAGGGTTCCATCCTGATCAGAGAGTCAATAATGGACTGTAATTCTCCTTGCCCTTCCAAGGAGATAGGATATTGATGAACTCAGATTGGGCGACTTTCATCAGTTATTGTAATCATAATGGGCATCATGTCTAGTTTTCCCTGACTCTCGGGTCCTGCCCATACAATTGGGTTTATTTTATTTTCATAATCTTCTTTTAATTTGAACAGTTTCACTACTATTTCCCCTTCTTTTGGTAACACCCCAATTCCTAAAATTGGGTGCAAAGCCCTCCCAAGGAGATGACATCCTGCCCCCAGTACCAATATGTCTCCCATTCCTGTTTTATGACTCCCCTCAAAGGTTACCTGTTTGATAACAGGTGCCTGAAAGCCCCCTCCTTTTGCTCCTGTTACCTGAAAAGATTATTTTCCCTTCTCACATCCTTTTGGAATCTTCTGTACACATGTTCTCTCAGCTCCTGTGTCAACTAAAAACTCAAAAAACTTTTTCTCCAGGGGGACCTAAGTATAGGGTTTTCAAGGGCTTACAAAGGTATTTTGTCCCCAGAAGATAGAGCCCCTGACACCTCTAGTCCTCTATCT